TAGATGTACAAAGTACTGTAGGCTGTAGGTAAAGGTAAAAGAGCAAAAAAAAAATATCAAAGGAAAAGATGTTTACTAGTGCTTACTAGATGGAATTTGAAAGTTTTTTTTTCCGTAGTCTATTGTGGGGGACCCCGTTTGTGAAGACCCCGGGGCTTTCGCCCCGGTTGCCCTCCCCTAAATCCGGCAGTGGGTAGGTGTAGAAGTTATTTCTTTCGAAAGAATTAGTGAATGATCTTAATCGTATTATGATTAAATCATAAGCATGTACAATCTGGATTGAAAGGACCAATATAGAACATTTTTTTTGTTTCAATCAGAAAAAAAATTGCGTGATATTTGCCTAGACCCCTCTCTCCAACGTAAGATTAGATGAGATTTGACTCGACTCCCCCCCTCCCCCCCAAATATCTCACGTAATTTATGGACGCCCCCTAATGCAGTGACGCGGATCTCGCCGTCTCCTTTGCGCTGCCGTTGAATTTTAACGTGCATTTTCGTTCGGGTCGGTAATGCAGTGACGCGGGTCTCGCCGTCCCGTTCGCGCTGCCGTGGGATCAGTTTTTGTTTGATGCAAGTATGAGCGTACCGTATCTACCCCTTTTTGTTTTAATCTAAGCTTAAAGCAGGCTACCCATCAAAATCCATTAAGGGGCCATTCAATATGAAAGAGCAGCAAACAAACTGAAATTTAATACTTGCTTTTTTTTATATTTCATTTACAAATATGTAGTGCAATACATTTAGCACTAAGAAGACTCCTTGCACTAATAATAATTAGGCCGGAAGTTGGGCATGGCTGCTCTTTCACTGTGAACTAACCTTTAGTTTACAACCACAAATATTTAGATACGTTTTATAATTTAGTTCGTATAATAATTTGTTATATAACTATCTACCGATTATTATAATATTTTACATCAACAACAATTTATTCTAGTCCGTGTACTGTATGTGAATAATTCGTAAACATAAATGTATTATTCACCTCCTCCATTTCTTACTTTTTCTCCAGTCTAGATATTGATGCGCCTATTAGACGACCCAATTATAAGGGACCCTTACCTGACTGACTAAGGGTGGTGCAACATGAGTTAGGGAGTAAGGGACCCGATCTAGGGCGATCGGCGCGACCCGATCTCCCTTAAACAAGATTTACACTACCCAATTTTAAGGGACTCTACCCTGACTAAGGGTGGTGTAACATGAGATAGGGAAAGCTAGGGAGTAAGGGACCCGATCTAGGGGGATCGGCGCGGTGTAATAATTGCTACCCTTGCTAGGAGCCACGTCCAACCTTTCTAAATGGCCTTTAAAATTGAGTAGTGTAAATGCTGTTTTACTCCCTTACGCCCTGACGATCGGGTAGTGAAATAGCCGTTAGGCAGTATGGGAGCGCAGTCGACGCGCAGAGCGCGTATAGTACGAACGTTTTTGTAGTTGAAATCAGTTGAATTAGATTATTGGCGCGATTTAATTGAGATCTTTAATTTTTGTGGCAAAATAAATCAAAAACTATTTAAGGCACATAATTAAATAATCAGATGTGAGAATTGAAAAAAAAAATTCTGATCATTTACGGGAAATATGTAAATGATCATCAATTTTTTTTCTTAAATAACGAGAAAAGGGCCGATAAGTTTGAAGAAAATTTGATCAGAATGCATCCGATGCTAAAATGACGACGTTCAACCGAGACGACTTTTATTTTCTGGCTTAGGGTCTGATTAAAAGGGCGAAATTAATAATTGCTATCATATGCATTACGATCATTTAGATAATCATCATCAACTTTATATTAGCCCGTACTCATAAGAGTATTCTTGATCTGAGATAGATTTAAATTTAGTCAGAGGAAGCTTAATCAGATCTTGGGGAACTTACTTAAATACTATAATAACCCAAAAATGAATCTCTTGATTTTTGAAGTCTGAAACATAGAACGGCAAGCTTGTTGTTTAATTTCGTGTTAAAGTTATGTTACAATTTATTCTAGTCCGTGTACTGTATGTGAATAATTCGCAAACATAAATGTATTATTCACCTCCTCCATTTCTTACTTTTTCTCCAGTCTAGATATTGATGCGCCTATTAGACGACCCAATTATAAGGGACCCTTACCTGACTGACTAAGGGTGGTGCAACATGAGTTAGGGAGTAAGGGACCCGATCTAGGGCGATCGGCGCGACCCGATCTCCCTTAAACAAGATTTACACTACCCAATTTTAAGGGACTCTACCCTGACTAAGGGTGGTGTAACATGAGATAGGGAAAGCTAGGGAGTAAGGGACCCGATCTAGGGGGATCGGCGCGGTGTAATAATTGCTACCCTTGCTAGGAGCCACGTCCAACCTTTCTAAATGGCCTTTAAAATTGAGTAGTGTAAATGCTGTTTTACTCCCTTACGCCCTGACGATCGGGTAGTGAAATAGCCGTTAGGCAGTATGGGAGCGCAGTCGACGCGCAGAGCGCGTATAGTACGAACGTTTTTGTAGTTGAAATCAGTTGAATTAGATTATTGGCGCGATTTAATTGAGATCTTTAATTTTTGTGGCAAAATAAATCAAAAACTATTTAAGGCACATAATTAAATAATCAGATGTGAGAATTGAAAAAAAAAATTCTGATCATTTACGGGAAATATGTAAATGATCATCAATTTTTTTTCTTAAATAACGAGAAAAGGGCCGATAAGTTTGAAGAAAATTTGATCAGAATGCATCCGATGCTAAAATGACGACGTTCAACCGAGACGACTTTTATTTTCTGGCTTAGGGTCTGATTAAAAGGGCGAAATTAATAATTGCTATCATATGCATTACGATCATTTAGATAATCATCATCAACTTTATATTAGCCCGTACTCATAAGAGTATTCTTGATCTGAGATAGATTTAAATTTAGTCAGAGGAAGCTTAATCAGATCTTGGGGAACTTACTTAAATACTATAATAACCCAAAAATGAATCTCTTGATTTTTGAAGTCTGAAACATAGAACGGCAAGCTTGTTGTTTAATTTCGTGTTAAAGTTATGTTACAATTTATTCTAGTCCGTGTACTGTATGTGAATAATTCGCAAACATAAATGTATTATTCACCTCCTCCATTTCTTACTTTTTCTCCAGTCTAGATATTGATGCGCCTATTAGACGACCCAATTATAAGGGACCCTTACCTGACTGACTAAGGGTGGTGCAACATGAGTTAGGGAGTAAGGGACCCGATCTAGGGCGATCGGCGCGACCCGATCTCCCTTAAACAAGATTTACACTACCCAATTTTAAGGGACTCTACCCTGACTAAGGGTGGTGTAACATGAGATAGGGAAAGCTAGGGAGTAAGGGACCCGATCTAGGGGGATCGGCGCGGTGTAATAATTGCTACCCTTGCTAGGAGCCACGTCCAACCTTTCTAAATGGCCTTTAAAATTGAGTAGTGTAAATGCTGTTTTACTCCCTTACGCCCTGACGATCGGGTAGTGAAATAGCCGTTAGGCAGTATGGGAGCGCAGTCGACGCGCAGAGCGCGTATAGTACGAACGTTTTTGTAGTTGAAATCAGTTGAATTAGATTATTGGCGCGATTTAATTGAGATCTTTAATTTTTGTGGCAAAATAAATCAAAAACTATTTAAGGCACATAATTAAATAATCAGATGTGAGAATTGAAAAAAAAAAATCTGATCATTTACGGGAAATATGTAAATGATCATCAATTTTTTTTCTTAAATAACGAGAAAAGGGCCGATAGGTTTGAAGAAAATTTGATCAGAATGCATCCGATGCTAAAATGACGACGTTCAACCGAGACGACTTTTATTTTCAGGCTTAGGGTCTGATTAAAAGGGCGAAATTAATAATTGCTATCATATGCATTACGATCATTTAGATAATCATCATCAACTTTATATTAGCCCGTACTCATAAGAGTATTCTTGATCTGAGATAGATTTAAATTTAGTCAGAGGAAGCTTAATCAGATCTTGGGGAACTTACTTAAATACTATAATAACCCAAAAATGAATCTCTTGATTTTTGAAGTCTGAAACATAGAACGGCAAGCTTGTTGTTTAATTTCGTGTTAAAGTTATGGGCTTGATTTTTTTTTGCAAATGCATTATGGTTTTTTCTTACATAAGTATATTATATTTTCATAAATGTACTGCGACGCCAGTTAAAATATTTATTTCATAAAAAAATCAAAGTGTGAACAGCTCTCTTTTGCAGTATAAAAATACTATCGATATTAGCAGCTGAGCCCCACAATAAAAGTTCATATAACATAACACTACGAAAGTAATCAAAGTAAACCAATCTTGCCGTTTTCACATCAGTTGTCTTATTTTTTTAACAGCAAAAACCGCAGAGCTCAGTCTACTTGATAAGGCATCAATATGAGGATCCCATTGCAAATGCGAGTCTAAAGTAATACCCAGAAACTTTGTAGAATCCACTTACTCTACAGGCTGGTCATTAACATCAAGTACATTAAATTAATACCCTTGTATTTGTTAAAGGAAAACACTATTCAGAAAATAAACGAAACGCCTTTTTTGGCCTTGCAAATGCGTGAAACTCCTTAAAACGTTAAATAAAAAAATATTAGTCTACAATTTGAACTATCACCATGTATAAAAATATAAAAAAAATACCATTAGCAAACCCATTGCCTGTGGCTCCTATTAAATATAAGCCTTAGAACTATTTGCTTATAAAGTTGATAGTTTTTAACTTAAACCTACTATTGTTTTCAGGTATGTAAGTATATTGAAATTGACCGTGAACGGTAACGGAAACGATTTTAATAATACACATAATGGTGGTAAGTGCGACAATAGTTAGATGTGTGATTTTTGACGGGGCGTTTGTGACATAGTGATCTATAGCGTTATAGTTATTTTTGCAACTGTTATATAATGAGGGGTAATAATACACGAATGTGGGTTTGAATGTTTTAATACCTAATTTTATAGTTTTTTTTTCTATCACCATCATCATCAGCCTATTAATGTCCCCACTGCTGGGGCACAGGCCTTCCTTGACGAAATAGGGAGATGTATATGTAGATATATTTTGTATGCAAAACATTATCTACATCCACGATGTGAATCCTCTATAAAATGTCCTGAAATCATGGGGCGTTCTAAAAACTTAAAGTTCGTGAAAAGTTTAAAGTCCAGGACAGTCAGTATATAAATATCTTTTTTACTGTCTAGTGTGTAAATATATGAAATTCGATTGCACAAATCGTTTGCTTGCAGTCAATATTGACTCTTTAGTGACTAGTGGCAGTGACTTTTTAGACGCCATCCATTTTTATCATTTATGTCATGACTGATGGAATTGACAGCGGCTGCATGAGCGTTATATGGACACCTAACAATTTTATACCTTGAAAAATACTTTACTAAATGTTTCACCACGATTTATATTTAGATCATACAATAATATATTTAAAACCATAAAAAAATAAAATAGGGTCACGTAGTATGGGTATGTTCCCGTATTATATTCAATTAGCCCATCATCATCGGAGTCCACTTCGCACAGACTTCCCCACCTACTTGCTTCCAATTAAAATGGCGGTTGGTCAATTCAATTACTGCAGTAATTTCTACGTTAAAGGTTTATTTTTTAACATCTATTCTTTTTTTCTTTTAAACTTTGTACTTAATAAAAAAATAACAACGACATATACATACTTATATTTGTTTTCATTTTACATAAATACTTAATATTATGTTTTAGACTATGACAAATTGTACGATAACAAATGCAGATTATTTAACATCATCTTCTTTGGATTTTATACATGATCGAATGTGATAATGTTTATTGTACTATATAAGGGATCGCTTTTTTGATCGCCGATAAATGAAAGACTACTAGCACTTTTATAACGCTAAACTTTTGTGTATTCATCAATATTAAATTATAACATAAATTAAGTGTCAACTACGAAAAAAAAGTTTTGATAGGTTTTATTTAGTTTTACACTAGATTAAAAAAAAACTTAAAATATATCTTACTTCTTTAAAGGGTAAAACGAAATTAAAACCTAGCAACACTGCTTGCCGGACCGGATGTAGCGACTCAAATCGGCATGTCTGTCTGTCTACGGCGGGAGACCTTGTACTGAGACGAACCGGCAAGAAACTCAGCAAGCTCTTCAGAGATACTTCTGAAGTCACCTTCCAAAGTCATAAGGTCTATTCGTAGAGTTGGACTTTTGAAAACGTTGTAAAAAGTTGGATGAGCGCCATCCATAAAATCTTGTATTACAAGAAGAATACGTGTATATTTTAAATACGGTCCTGACTCATAAATTAATGGGAGATTTATTTAGCGGTCGTCCGTTGACCGCAATTAGACATGATAAGTTACTTTGTTAAAGAGTATGCGTATTTATTATTTTACCTATATATTTTTTTTATAATCTATCCATTATTATACAAAAATATTAGCTTTCTCAACTCTTTCCTACTTTAGCTCACCGACGCGGCGAAACGCGATAGCAACAGTGCAGTTATCTATCCTAGACTATGAATATATATACAGTATAGTACTACTCGCGAAACTCGTTCCATAAGGACGCCGCGGCCATTTCAGTTATGCGAGTTCCAGAGAAACTATTTGGTTTGTCTTTTTGACAGAAACCGAGAAAAGTATAAATGAAATTAGAAGTTATCCCAAATTATATTTATGAGGCATATTAATTTTATTATAAGCCTTTATGATGATGAACTGATGAATTCACCGGGAGGTGCAACTTTGGCCAATCAATCCGTAGTATCTAGCAAGTGTCATACAAACAAATACGGTAGCGTAAGTGCAAGTTAATTGAAAAAAATATATTGAAATAGGGAAATTTATACGTGTTTCGCTACCGTGTTCCGTCGCGCCTGTGTACTAAAGGCATTCTCCGTGAATTTTTTTATTATGCATACTCCATGAGCCAAATGCCATTACAAACTTCACGTATTTAAAGTGTTATATTGTAGCTGATGAATCCAGTGTTAGAGTGGCCATACATGGACGCAGCAGTCCATCCTACTTACACACATCGTCTTCTACGTACACACGTACGTAGAACCGCTTGAGCAGTTGCGATTGCTTCTTCTTTAATCATGAATATTAGTTTTTAGCTCTCCATAAACTCATAAAATCACCAATTAGTAATACTTTTCTTTATAAAAAAGAAATTAGGACACACTTTAATCATATTAGGTCATATTTACGGCAGAAACAAAATCTGATGATAGCCAATAGTTAACGGCTCGAGTTAACAGACGTGATTAACCAATAATGAAACATGATGTATTTTATGGAAAACAAAGTTTCTTAGGTTTTCACGCACATCACTCATTAAAATATCATTAGATGCACTGATTTTATTTATTTATTGATTTTTTGCACCCTTTGCAGGAATGCGTCGTCAGAATAATGATTTTTATTTACTTTGTCGAGCTGCCTTCGAAATACTTTAAAGTTCGTAAATAAATAATTGTTAATTGTAAATAAAAAATCATTATTCTGACGACGCATTCCTGCAAAGGGTGCGAAACGTCAATTAATAAAATCAGTGCATCTAACCCGTTGAAACTTACTCGTTAAGATGTTTTCCAGTTACATTTGATGATAATCGTTCATGGTATGGCGCCAAATATTCGACTCATATTGTGATGCCGTCTGTGGGAAAACTTATCAAATGCACACCAAATTGTTCTTAAGAGTTAACATATTAAAAATATAACTTTTTTCGTTTGTCAATGAAGATAGGTATTTCCATTCATTGGACGGCTATATGGTTAGAACGTTTGGTTTACTCCCGATTTGGCTTGAGCAACAGATGGTAAGGGACTTACATGCCCGTCTTCGCCGCTTCTGCGTGATTGATGCCCGACTTAATAGTTTGCATCTTGGAATGTAGGCGGAAGTGCAAACGAGATTCTAGGGAATATCCCGAATACTTCTTCCTGAAAATTAAAACAAAAATTTCTCTCGAACATCCATATATTTGCAAAGATTTGCAAATGTTCAAATCAAATACACTGCCAGTTCTCTATTCTCAAATATGTAAAAGACATTTTTTTTTGTCGCGTTTTTATTAATTTAATAACTTAGTATATACATATTAAACTTGTGATTTAATTTTAAGCACATATCTTCTATAGGGGTTCCTTCTATCTGGCAGAATCTTGTTGATTCGAAATTCATTGGCCATAAAACGCTTGGCATAATCTTCTTTAACCGATTATTTATAGGCATATTTGTTCCTTAATATAATAAATACTTGGCTGAACGTTTTTAAGGACGGATATTCAATGGCATACTTTAAGATGGCAGAATTTTATAAGGCACAATTACCTTTGGCAAAATTTATTTTGCGTAATTTCGTCACGAAAATGAAGTTGATGCCATCCGCTGTAATGCATTTAGGCCCACTAGCTGCAAATTTGCTAAATCTCAATTTAACTAAAAAAATAATAATTCACCAATACAACTAAAACTACATCCTCATTTTCTTATTGAATAAATAATGCCAAATTGACACTGTCGTTTTGAATTTTTTTATAGATTAAATGTAGTGTTTGTTAAATCAAAATTAAGCAAATTTGTTGCGTGGGCGTTTTTAAGAAAGATTAAGGAATCTGGTTTATTATGATGATTTTTACTATTGATCCGCCCTCGCTTCGCTACAGTGGAGAATTTCCTTTCTCTTGAATCACTGTACCTATTGCTGAAAATTGTGTTATGTAATAAATAATGTAAATTCGTTGCGTGATTTAAGATCTAAGCTTACAGACAGCGGGGGAAATTTGTTTTATACTATGTAAATACGAGTACAAAAGATATACAGGATGTAAAAAACATCATCTGGACCATTTTTGGTGTCTATTAGATTATACATGGGAAATCAATAATAACTAAGTTATTGAAAGTTAAAGTCAGACATTTTTTTAAAGAAACCAATAGTAACCATTATTCCTTAATTCCTATTCAAAGAAACATAGTTTATGCGGCTGTAATATAAGAAGGGGTATTGTTTATTTATTTATTTGCTATCATCTATTAAAACACGAGAGTCTGTTAACCAAGTAGACTCGAGTGTTTTAATACCTAAATTATATGCAGTTGCATACACTACTTTATCTTTACTCATTCGAATAATTGAAATTAAACAAAGTACCAAAAAAGTATTTTGTAACTTTTCTGAAATCCCGAAAACAAAACACGATCGGCAGAAAATGGTATGGGACGCGAAAAATTAATTTTAAATTTCAATCGCGTGTGCGCCTTTTTTTACATTCAGCCTAATATTAAATTGTACTATAATGATTAAAAACTTATTTTTTAACACATTTACTCAAAACATGCATTAACGAAGGTTGTATTCATTGTTCGGCAGTTCAAAATTACGGGCCATATAACGGAGCGTGCGGTAAAACATTTTACCGCAGCGCCGTACTCCACCCGCGTCGTGGTCTGTTGCGCGCCATACATAGCGCGGTGTAGTTTATTTTTAACTCCAAAAAATAAAAATCTTTCTCAGCAATGATTTTTTATTAAGTTGTTTATTTTGATGTAAAGAATGCGTAGGCTTCGGCTGTGTCAAAGGTCTTTTTACACCTGTATAAAAACAACGTATACTAACCTTGCATCGTGCAGTAATTGTATAGCGCGGTCTTTGTCGCCGAGTTGGTAATGGCACATCGCCATCTCAGTGACCGAGTACGGTAGAAGGAACGTATCCTCCTTTATGTCGTTCTTCAGTCTGTTGGTAGACAGGACATAATTAATTAACAGGACATAGGTTTTCAATAACTCATTCGTAGTAAAATAAAATATTTTAAGTTTCCTAGATGTTTTGTTATTTAGTTCAAAACAACAATTGTTGCTAAGAAACGTAACGAGAATAGGTTCATAGTATTTATTTAATGCATATAACTGTTAATATTATACGTTTATTTTATTATACGTGTCATGCTGGATTTGATTTGAATGAACTGACTGCTCTATTAATAATTTAATTGACATACATTTTTTATTCATCAATATAATATTTTTATGATAAATTTAACGTTATCTAAAATAAAATGATGAGGGAAATTCAAAAAACCATGGTTGCCATTTCTCATTTAGCCGCAACAGTAGGGCATCACTATTGATTATTTATATATTTTTTTTATATTTACCCTAAGAATAAAAAATATACATCCCCAAAAACCGGATGAAATATGCGGCTCTGACTGCCGCCTTCACTATTTGGATAGGTAGAAAACTTACAGGTTGCATTACTGTAATACTCACTGGAACAAAAAAGGCGAGGGTCTTCAGCTCGAGCCGGGTAGCCGAGTCCCAAATTTCGGGGGGGCAGCCCCGTGCCAGTACCGGTGCAGGACGGGGCTGTATCATTGCTAGAGGATTCGATCCTGGTCGATTTTTCTAATCGCGGGATTATCTACAATTAATCCCGGGATGGTCTCGGGATTGTATTGGTAATAAAAAGTGGTAACAAAAAGACAGTAAAAAAAAACATAATCAACTTTTTATTTTAAATCTTTAAAAAACAAAACTAAATTATACTTTCTTCTGATAAAATAAACAAACTAGGCATTTTTTGGCCCGTTGAGCGTTGTTTTGCCTTAGCAGAATCTACTTTCACGGAATGATTTGAACATAGATGACTATGTAGACCTTGGTTTGATCCCCCTAAGGTCTTTAAAATAGCGAAGCAACGCTTACATTGTGCCGAGTTACCCTCCTTATCGACTAAAAAATGACTCCACACTGACGAAACATCTTCATCTTTTTTATGCTTGACATCAAAACTTTCTCTGGATAATGACATTGTTTACTTCTTAAACCTTAACCAAATGAACAGAACATTTAAGTCTATGCATAACATAAACATAAACTCTTAGAGCTGCAGAAAATAACACTCTTTGTTTGTCATCCATATTTACTCAGACATATAAATGCATTGGTTGTTTTTTAATAAATTCATTGATTATCACCAATCCACAAAAAAAATATCAATACTTACACGACGTGAAGCGGATTTTTTACACATAATCGGGTACCGGTTGTTAGCAAAAATAAATTAAGTCAGCTGTGTAAACAAGATGGCCGTCAAAACGTCTAATGAAAGTAAGCGCGTTTCATTTCACGCACATTTTTATTGACTTTATATAAAAAATACATCAATCCCGAAAATCCCGGGATTTATTACATTTAATCCCGAAAATTTTGGGACTAAAATATGACCGGGATCGAATCTTCTAATCACTGCACACTCATAAGAACACAGAGGCGAGGGTCTCCAGCGCGAGTCGAGGCAGCCCAATGGCGAAGAGGCAGCAGCCGTGCAAGTACCGTAGCAAAGCGGGGCTGTATCACTGCACACTCACAAGAACACAGAAGCTAGAGTTTTCAGCTTGATTCGGGGCAGCCCCATTTCGGAAAGGCAGCCTCGTGCCAGTACCGCAGCCACACTCACAAGAACACAGAGGCGAGGGTCTCCAGCGCAAGTCGGGGCAGCCCAATGGCGGACAGGCAGCAGCCGTGCAAGTACCGGAGCAGGGCGCGGTTGTCCGCGTCGTAACCAGCCATCCACTCCTGGGGGCCGCTCTCTAGCCGATCGCGAGTGCTTTCAATTAACTAAAACAATTTATTATCTAAATTGCGACAAGGATCTTTATTAATGTGACAGTTTAGGGAGGGCGCCACTATCTACGTAAAAGACCGTAAATAACATAAAAAATATAATGTTTACAAAGACGCCGGCGTTAGTTCCATTTTTATAAAGATAAATGCCATATTAATAAAGATAAATGTATTTGATTAAATCTGTAATTGTTTAAATGTTTAAATGGAGTCAATGGGCTTAAAGTCGTTATATGCTATGCAAGGTTTCCAGCATTTTACTCTTCCATAGTACATAAAAGAATATTCATAATATGGCTAAGAAGCAGTTTGATGCTGAAAAAAATATACCCAATTAATTTATTGTTGAGTTATTTTTATTTTTAAGCATTAAACTGGTAGCTGTTTAAATCTAAAGAAAATGTTACTAGGAAAAAGACCACGCGGTCCAACATACGGGAGGGACTGGCTCGCGTGGATTTTTTCTAGTAAAATTTTCTTATATTGTTTTATATTGTTACTTAAAAGTTGATTTGATGATTTTTATTATACCAATAAGGGTCAAAGCAACATAAAACTACAAAAGCTTTATTAGTTAAACCAATGATGCAGTAAAACATCTTTTACCTTAAGTACATTCTGAGCGTTGCGCTCATTCTTTGCGAGAATATGCAGCATGTTCCACAGACACAGCAGTTCTATGGCCGGCAGTAGTAACTGGCCACCTTGCGCTAGGTACCTCGCGCTGCGGCGGATCATAAACTTCTCCATTGGCAGAGATTTGCCGGCGATGCGTTGCTTGTGTAACGCTGCATTCCTAGAGCACAGGGTATGATGATTATCTTCGTATTTAATTGATAAGTTATGAAAGAAAGAAAGAAGAAGGTTTTTTTAACACATTTGCTCAAAATGTAAATTGTGGAGACTATGACGATGTATCTCCGTAATACATCATTCATAAGTTCAAAATTACGGGTCATACAACTGAGCGTGCGTTTAAACATTTTACCGCACGCTCCCGTACATGGTGTCGTGCGTATCCCTAACGTTTTTTTTTATTTATATCGACCCTTCTTGGAAGCACTTTTAATCCAAACCTTTGCCTCACTTTAACACTAAAAAAAGGGCCCAATTTGGAAATACGCGTCATTTTCTTATTAAAATTAGTTACAAGAATGTATGGACCAAGCATCCTTTGCTTTCAAGTAACAGAAAAATAAATAAGAAAAAAGTCAGTCAACATATAAACAGTGTTTAAATTCTATCATTAAATAAATAATTTGCGTCTTCTTAAATTTTAAGTATATTTGGTTACTATTGACCAAAATAGACATAGAAACATAATTTATAATTACGAAAACTATGATAGTTTGTTGTAGAATGTTGCTTCTCTGCAACTGTAAGGCTATCGCCGAGTGGAACCAACATAATTGTGGTGTATCAAATGTTAGTGTAACACAAACCTCAGTAGTCCGGTGCAGTGTTGCTTCTCTGCTACTGTAAGGTTCTCATTATTGTGGTTTACCAAATGTTAGTGTTACACGAAACTCGGTAGTTCGGTGCAAAGAAACCATGACGTTACCTAAACAGCGTTTAAGTTTAACAATGACGATAAATATCAAATGTTAGTGCTTACACAAACCTCAGTAGTTTGGTGCAATGTTGCCTCTTCGCCGCTGTCAGGTTATCACCGAGTTGAAGCAACATTGCCGCTTTAATATAATAATACATCGTGCGCGACCAAGAGCTCTGCTCGATCAGTATGTCCGCGTACAATGCGGCCTCGTGCCATTCCATCATCAAACTACAATTACAACAATAATAATTCATTTATTCATAGCATAGGCCCAAGTTGTTATTAACAATTTAATACATAATTTCTATGTAGTGTACATATGTAGTCGGCATCGAATATATTATATTAAGGGCATCACAATCGCTGAGTAGTTTTAATTAAGTTTTTAGAACTTATCTGCTCAGTAAAAAAAATAATGATTTTGATTTTGACGTTGATAGCGCAGTTTTGCTTTTAAACGCTTTTCCAAAAATTTACAACATTCCTATTCTTTACTGAGCAGATAAGCTTACTTAGAACTTTAGTCAGCGATTGTGAAACAGGCCCTTAGTATTCTTGCAACATAATTTAATGTTGCAAGAATACTATAACGCCAGGTCAATAATAAGTTTTATAGATACCTTTGGGTTCAAAACCCGTGTAGGTACTCGAAAACAGAGCGTTCCGGTTTTAACTTTGCTAGGGGCACCAGAAACTTACTTGTAAATTGTATAATAATATGTAAAACAAAATAAAGTGTTTATTTTATTTATTTAGTGTGAAACTGAATAACTATGTACTAGTGGCCGCCCGCGACTTCGTCTGCGTTAACTTTAGTTTGTAAAGAAGTCCCGCAGGACCCTTACATTTTTAAGGGATAAAAAGTATCCTATGTCTCAATCCAGACCATAAACTATATGCGTACCAAATTTTGTTAAAATCCGTTCAGTATTTTCTGCGTGATTGAGTAACAAACATACAAACTTATAATATTAGTAGGATTTCGACTCACCCGTTGACCCACATGATCTCCCAGTAGCAGACATGGCGGAATTGCTTCCACGTCTGCTGATTCTGTACGACGCAGTCGTAGGTCTGTATGGAGGGCTCGAATTGGCCCCGGAGCAGTTCCAGGCGCCCCTTGAATACTAGGAACCACACGCTGTCCGGGTAAATCTGTAAATCACAATATAGTTACAGTCGCTGTCACGCGATCAAGGAATTTATTTTTTATCTTTATTTCACCATCTGCCTATTAGTGTCCCCACTGCTGGGGAACAGGGCTAATTCCCAATGGATGGTGGGTGCAAACGACTACAAATGCAGCCGGGAGTCAGGGACCAACGGATTAACGTGCTTTCCAAAGCACGGGGGAGGCAGGAGCTGGTGATTATTAGTTTTTTTTCACCCATTAAATGACCGATCGTTGCTTTCGCAAGACCGTCAGACTTTAGGTTTCAATATATTATCCTGAGTTATAAGAATAAATGTTATTATACGATTTCTCGCATAATACGCCATTTTGCAATTTTCAGTCCCTGCAAATTTAAGCTTTTTTATGCTTGATGTGGTTTTGGCATAAAAAAAACTTTTTTGTCAAAAATCGTTTTATTGTTGTTCGCGTATATTATATATTATCTTTTTTGAAAAATGTTTATGTTTATCACTGATCAAAAATCGGATAAGAAATCTTACATAAAAACATACCGACCAAATTGAGCACCTTTTTTAAGTCAGTTAATAAAATGCACGTGAGAAAAGATAGCTTTTGTACGATAGAAAATGCTAAATGATAGTGTAATGAGAGGCCTGCAGGTACAGATATAAAATGAACTTGAAAAATAGGGACTTATTTTGGTTTACCTGCAGTTGCTTTTTGAGTATCTTCTCGCAGATGATCAGGTCGCCGGGCGAGCCTATGAAATGACAGATGACTAGATGGTAGCCGAGCAACGTTAGATCGCACAGCAATGATCGCATTCCGGGCGCGTTCGATCCAGCCTCCAGTTCCGCTAGCCCTAAAGCCTACGACGATAAATACTCAGGTATTACAACAACAACAGGAACTTGAATCCGACACATAGAATAAAATAATTGGTTTTCATAACGAGTGTATGTTACTGAAAGTAAAAACTAAATGGATCTTTAAGAAAAAGAGAGGGTTAAATGGTGAGTTATTACTATATAAATACCGTCTTGTAGTCTAAGGTTTTACACAAAAGTACGGAGTAAAGGACTACTTTGAAACTTATTCGCCTGTTGTGAGATATGAAACTATAAGAATGATTAAATCTAAAGAAAATTTTACTAGAAAAAAAAACCACGCGGACCAGGCAGCAGACGGGACCCTTCGCTTTTTTTCTAGTAAAGTAAGTTAGTAAGTTTTCTTTACATTAAAACATCTAGCAGATACATGCTTAAAAAATAAAAAAAATATATAAGAATGTTGTGAGCCTTAGCTGCTGAGTATGATATGGACATAGACCACATGGATGTTAAAACAGCTTTTCTAAATGGAGATTTAAATGAAACCGTATTCATGAAAATGTCGGAAGGCTTTGAAAAGGGAAAGAACAAAAGAACAAAGTATAGCGACTACGTAAGGCTGTGTATGGTCTAAAACAAGCGCCTGGAATTAGAAAAAAAATCATGTACATACTCGTAAATACAACAAATTTCAGTAGATTATCTTCAGAGCCATGTGTTTAGGTACCTATTGAGAAAAGGTGATAAACTAATAATAATCATCGCACAGTAGACGTCATCGAACCGAGCGTTTTGGCGGTAAATTCAAAACCATTAAAAATAAATTCAACTTTATTTGGTTTAATGGAGAAAAAAAGACATTAATTAATTAATTTAATTTTTCTGTTAAACCCCAATCTTTAAAAATAAGCAGTTTTCAAAAATTTGGAAAATATCCTATTCGTGGAGTTGTTGGGAAAGTAGGAATCAGCGAACAGTCGCGCTCTCGGATTGTTGAAAAGAGGCACTATTTATTAAAACATTTTATAAAGAATATATTAATAATAACAATGTTGAAAATCTTAATATCAGATTTTCAATGACAACCAGTCTCAGTCAAACTAACTGAAAATAGCATGTTTGACAGTAGATCCAAGCACATAATATATCAACTTCATCAAATGAATCATCACTTCGTTAGGAAGGCGGTAGGCTACCGATTAATTAAAGTTAATTTCTTGCCAACGTCCAAAATGATAGCGGACATCTTACAAAACCCTTGTCTGCAGAGAAACACAGCTATTTTGTAAAGGGTTTAGGCTAGGTAAAGATATCTTGCGTTAGTTAAGTTTAAGGGGCGGTGTTAGAGGTATAAACTCAACTTAACGTTGTCTTTGACACACGTTTCCTTAGTAACGTGAAAATCGAGAGAACTGGTAGAAAACAAGTTACATAAGCAACTTTGTCTTTACATATTCCTCCAATACACCTAACTGTAATTACTTCACTTACTCCGTGATCATGACCCTCGCAACAGTGCCGAAATATCGGAGACACATAAAATACAAGGTACATGGTAACAATCCCGTTAATAGCTATAAAGACTGTAGATATTTATGCGTAGCATAGTCATTAGTAGACTATTATTATCACGGAGGAAAAACAAAGAGGAGGTGTGGTGATTAAATTTTCTCAAGAAACGACGCGTGATAATTTGCGGGGTGCGGGGTGTTCAGCTCCGCCCACTTCTCAATATTTCATCTATCGGCTAATAGCAAAACTAGCTTAGGTTGATATATATGTTACTACGTAGTAGTTCAGCTATCTAACACTAGATGTTCAAAAGTTTTGTATATAATGGGACGTACTCAGAACTTGAAGCTTCAAAAAAATGAAATATGTAGGTAAATAAATAAAATAAACGTTAACAAATTTGACCGATTTTAAAATTTTTAAGGTATAATTTTTATTATTTTAAAACATGTAACTGCTTGATGAAAAAAAATCCAGGCAGACCAGGCAGCAGACGGGACTCGAACCCGCACCCGCTCCCGTCTGCTGCCTGGTCCGCGTGGATATTTTTCTAGTTATATGGATATTTTTCTAGTTATATTTTCTTTAGATTTTAATTTTAAGGTAGTTTAAAAATAATAGACAAAATGTTATTACAAACATAATTTTATTAAAAAATGGTTGCCTGTAAAGTCGGTTTTACGGGCGAAGATTTTACGTGACAACGTCTTTTTCTCGGTAGAATATTTATTGATATGAATATAATTAAATTGCACAATAGGAACAAGGAATTGAATGAAAATAAGAATTGCACAAATTTTAACTATAGAAATATATTTTGTTTACTAAAACATTGTACATGTAAACTTAAACTTAACACGAGAGACTCATCGTAACGTTACCGAGCGTTACACTTTTTCATAAGTGACTCCCAGCCGCAACCTAATTTAAGACGTTGTCACGTCAAAAACATCAATTACCTGTAAATAATAGTTTTGGTTAGTTGTTGTCGGTTGGTTGCCCTATCGTTTTGTATTGTGGCAAAATGCTTAAAACGAATATCAATATATTTTTCTGCAATCGATTTCATCAGAAATACAACATGATTAAGTGTAGGTGATTGGTCAAACATATGGTTGGCCGATTTTTTGAAACAATCTTGTCCAATAAGTGATTTTAATGTATTCGATACAATTTTATGTTTACGAAAGTTAGGAGTATTCAAAGATTGCGATTTAACACAACGAATACTGCCTTCGGTCCGTATACATATTTTTATGACATCTCTAGATGGGAAAGTAAGACCACCCTTATTTTTAGTTTTTATCAAATCAAGGTCACTATCGTCGTAGTTATCAGCATATAATTCTTTGAGACAGCTCTCACATTTAATCTTGGAATGTAAATATTTGACCACATACCCAGAAATATATGCTACTATTCACCTATAGTTGTATTTAATTGTTCATCAAATTCCAATAACATATCGTCAGGCATAGGCTCGACATCCGTGCTATCCGAAGACTCGAAACTCATTTTATTTAAAATGCGATAACGTTCTGATGTAATATTAATTTTTTGCACAGAAGATTCATTTAAAATGGAAATATCTTCTTCTTCTATGGTGTCCAATCCGGTCTATTAAGTTTTGAAATCCATTGCTGTTTTAAATTATCGTTGGATGGAAATCTAAAACGAACATAAAAATAATTAAAATTTATTAACTTGGTAAAATAATTTAATACGTATTACGGCCCTGGATATTTGTAACGTTTAAAAAGTTATTCTATATGACGACAGATGGCAGCCAGTTAGTAATATATTGATAAAATTACTGTTTTAGATACTAAAAGTTATTTAGGAATAAGTGTATAACAGTTTTCAGTATTTACGTATGATTATTACAATATACTACTGCAAAATTATACGTAAACTTGTGTATTTTCTTCCTAAAAGTGTCGCCATCTGGTGTCAAGTAGTAGAATTTTAACGCTGATAGCTGAGGCTGAGAATGTTCTAGAACTTATATATTTAATTACGTATAAAATTACTTACAAATGAAATGTGATGCCATCCATATTATCAGAACGTCTGTCTGAGTTACTTTGACATAGTAAAACACAAAACTTCATCCTTTTCTTGTTAAAAACGCAAAAAAACACTTATAATGAGAGTCTCGTTAAGTGTGCACCTGACGAACGCTGAAAGCATACTGACTTAGGCCCCGCCCACAATGATGACGTCAGGACCTAGTTGAAAATCACAGTGCACAGTTGCTTAGGCCAGCTCCTCTTTGTTTTTCCTCCGTGATTATTATATAAGTCCGGGATCATAGCTCAAATGACCTGACGTAAGAGTTTAAGAAATTGTTTATCACTGTATTGGGATTGAATTTGTTATCAACTATAAAAGTTTGCTCATGACGCAGATAACGCCTGAGAACAGATCGTTATCGACAGTTACACGATATGAACAGACTGAAAATTGTTTGATTACCTTCCAAATGATGTGACGACCTCCGTGCACGGTTTGAGTGGTATGTAGGTACACTGGTAAATTGATGTCGCCGTTTATATATACACACATCAAAGAAATCTAATTTCAACATACATCATTTACCCGAAGTGCAAGTTTTATTTATTTATTTATTTTATTTATTTATTTATTAGGACCACCAGAGAAAGTTACATTAAATCTTATTATTAAACATTATAATGATACATACAAAATGCAAAATTCTATTGAAGGTAGCCATTTCAATTAAATAAACAAACAGAAACACAAACTGAAACGACATGTAAATAATGAAGTTTATGAACTACTAGCTGACCCGGCGAACTTCGTACCGCCTTAGCGTAGCTTTGATGCACTACTTTATTTTGTACAGCTGACCTATCTTATGTATGAGTACCTATTCAATTGTCACAGATTACCACAGATTTTTTGGTTTTAAATTGAATGACGTTGACATTCGTTACGTTATATTTTTCAATCTTACTGAGAGATTTTCTTTATATTTTTTTCCGTAAGAACCTTGTACAGAGTATTAGAAAACTACAAAAAAAAAATCAGCCAAATCGGTCAAGCCGTTTTCATGTTATGTCGTGACAACGGAAAACGGGTTTCATTTTTATATATACAGATTAGTGGCTTTGAATCTATAGACAATAGAAAACGAATATATATAATTATTCGATATAACAAATTTAACGACAAAAATAAAAATAAAGTTTGCCTACGCATCTCTTAATAACTCGGAAACTTTAGTCCTCAATCGTAGAAAAGAGTCAAGGAAGATATCAACACTCTCACTCAGTTTGTTGTAAGCTTCGGGCAAGCGATATGATGCAGAGTGTGTTAATATGTTTGAGCGAGCGATTGGTTTGCTGAATGTTGGTACAGGATAGCGTGGTGGTTTACGGGGAACTCTAATATTTATCTTACTGAGAAATTGTGGGCAATCAACTACATTTCTGACAACTTTAAATAAAAATGTGATATCCAAAATATTTCTCCTAGTGAGAAGACTGTCCATATTAAAATACTGAAGTCTTTGGCTGTAGTTGGTAGATTTTGTATTCAGCCTACTACTGAATGTGAGATGTCTAGTAAAGCGTTTCTGAATGCGTTCAATACGAAGCTGATGTATACTGTACTGAGGAGACCAAATATCTGAACAGTACTCTAGGGTGCTTCTAACAAAGCTGTTATAAATCAAGACCTTTGTTGAGTGATTTCTGAATATTTTGGCATTTCTCATAATGAATCCTACAGTTTTTGAGGCTCGAGCAATAATGTTACCTATATGTGGAGTAAATGTTAATTTAGAATCTATTATTACACCCAGATCTCGAATAGTATTTACCTCCTCTAATACAGTATAACTTACTTTATATTGTGACTCAAAATTGTGAGACTTGCGGGATAACTTTATATGATAACATTTATTAATATTGAGAGATATTTCATTTACCTTGCACCATTCCACTAAGCTATCAATGTCCGATTGTAGGAGTTTAGCGTTCTCATCACAGTGAATAACTTTTATTAGTTTAAGATCATCTGCATATAGAAAAACATCACTGTGCTTAATTACATTTACAACGTCATTAATGAAAACATTGAAGAACAATGGTCCTATATGAGAACCCTGAGGTATACCTGATGTGGATAAATATTGATCTGAACGGAAACCCTTCACAACCACGTATTGAGATCGATTAGTTAAATATATATGCCACCACAACAATAAAGAACCGGTGAATCCATATTTTGAGAGCTTGTTTACTAATATTTTGTGACAAACTTTGTCAAATGCCTTGGAAAAGTCAGCATAGACAGCATCGCTTTGCAACTGGGAGTCCATATTGTTAACAATGAGATTGGTGAAAGTGATGAGATTTGTGCTGGTAGACCTAGATCTCAAGAATCCATGCTGGCGATCAGTAATAAGATGTTTTATTTGGGCGTAAATTTTATCAGTTGATATTTATGTTATCGTTATGAAATGTTTAATTTATTCAAAGATTATTGTTGCTTTAGTCACATATAAATCAAAGGGGCTATTGTTAACAAAATAAGTATAAGGAGTATAAAAATATTAAAAATAGGTCACAGTTCTCTTTTGACAAGTATATTTTTAGAAAAAATATACTTAAATATGTAAAAAGAAATATTTTTTCCGGACAACAAACATTCATGTATATCGTTACAAAAATTTCATTACAGTAGTTAAAGTTATAGAACTTGAGTGCCAACACATAAGTCTAAAAATACTTAAGAGGAACAAAAAACAGTATTTCAGTGCTCATGTTATAGGCAGTTGGTTCTTCGATATTACACTGGACGCATAGATATTCTTATGATATGAAAACAAAACAAAACTCTAAATTGACATTGTATAATTCATAGTAAGAACTCACTACCCTAGTATCCCATTACACATGTCTTACCAGCCCTTCTTTGGAGTAGGCTTACTGAAGGAAGGACGTGCATGTTTTTAACGTATTTTTTAACACTTTTACAAAGTGTGTGATTACCCCAAATATAACTTCAAAATTATTATCTACTCAACGAGAAATATTACTCCACTCGATCGAATAGGTAATTTTATTATGTTAGGCGCCCCTCCTTCCGTAATCGCTGTATGGAATCCCATCTAAAAAAAATTTAAAGTATTTTCGTCAATTTGTATGGCTTTTGATCAACGTTAAGATTAGACAACAACATTTTTGAACATTTTTTTATTATAGCTCTAACCGTTTCACTGTAAAACCTCTGTGACAAATGACAGACAGACGGACAGCGATATGGGCTCCATTTTAACCGTAGGTTGCGGTCGTTAAGGAATGGAAGTTATATTTGGGGTAATCACTTCAGATCAAATACAAAGTCCCTAGTTCCTGTTAGATCACCAAACGTCAAAGGGGCCCCATTATCCTAATATGCCTAGGGCCTCCAATAGGTCAGACGGCACGGTGCATGAGAAACAATAAAATATCAATCAAGTTTTCTAAAAATATCATTCTCATTTTTAACATTATGCATCTCATACGCATTTCGTTTATAAATTTAATTAATTTATGTTTATAAAAATAAGTTTAACAATTTTAGTACCTTTTATTTTTTATGCGCATACACATTATTAAGTGAAACTAAACGCTATACTGGATTGACATCCTTTTGTTTAACATTTCCTTTTATTATGACTGTGATGCGGTGCGACAAAGTGAACGAAATGAAACGAAGACGAATCGGGTGTTTTGGAAAATAATTACGACTTTTGCTTTTGAATACAGACTCGATTACGCCTTTTACTTACTTACCTTGTGGCTTTGTTTGTAGGATACCGATTCATTGTTTGTGGTTTGGAACCATTTTGAGATGCATAAATTGCTATTTATGTTTCGAATTCTATTCGAAACCATGTCGTCATCAGCTAATATGCAGACACTGTTGAATAGATACACCCGCAGCGTTCTTAGATAATATATTGATATCACTAGATGAGTAAATGATATAAAGTTAAAATGAGTGTTTCATTTTTTAAACAATGACAAATGTATTACCTCTGCTCTTAAGCGCTGTAAGCAAAGTATTAGTAATAATAATACACTACTACTAGAATAGTCGCGATATACAATACTTCACTATGGCACTATTTGTTAGCTAGAGGTTTTGCTAGATCTAGAAGATTCCAATACTTGTTGTTGACACATTGTTGCTTGTTTGTGTAATATGTCTCATGTAGCGAATATATTTCATATTCGTTATTATTACAAATATTTAAACTATGAAAGAACGATTTGAATGTTCGCCTGTAACGAATAAACTCGGAAACCCTCACAGACTGTTAACAATCGAAAAACAGACGAATAGAACGTAGAAACTACCTATTCATTAAAGTTATGAAAGCGCCTAATTAATAATTTATAGCAATTCCAATTTACTGCTTAATTGCAGTTTGAGAAACGTATGATAATTGTACTCTTTGTTAGTATATTATTAAAAAAAAACCGCAATTTCTAGAGAATTTACAACTTTACTATTTTTATTTCTAATATTACAGCTATCAAATTTCATTTATCGCATTCGTGTACACCAATTTTATCGGGTGGGTTAAACCTCTATAGCACTTCTGGCATTGTCCTTTCCATAGATGACGTACACCTAAATGTAATAATAGATAGTAGACTGACCTTATTCCCTGAGAATCCCACAAACTCCAGCAAACTAATAATTTTCGGGGGTAAAAGTGATATCATGAGATTGAAAGTAGCCGTGCCGAGTCTTACGCCACTCTGGAAGTGGAATTTTGACTCGTTGCTGTCCCATCTCTTCTTCTCCAGAATCTTCGCACAATCCCTACGAAAAACCAAATTTTAATAAAGTTTCACAAACCAAAACTGACAACCTGTCTGTATACATACGGTGATGATGTCCATACATGTAAGGATAGAAGTGTCGATAATGGCTTGAAACTAAAAAGGCAAGTGACTGTGGCCCAGATCTGTATCTTCAATGATTTTCGAAACTTAAAACTAAATTTAACATCAGTCTCTCCCTTTCATTTTGTATAGAGAATGACAAGGATAACATTATTACTAGCGTCGGATATTTGAGCACTAATTTAAAAGAAACTAGATATTTACACAGAACCAATGGGAGACTGCGACTGCTCGGTTTTATTTGATTCCCATACAAACTTCCACTACCCTTTTCATTTCTTTCAGGGATTAAAACCCAAACTATACAGGGCGTCCCACGGCTACCTCACACGGAGGGAAAGTATATTAAATATTGAAGATAGGACATTTTATTGAAAGAAGACATTGTTTATTTTTAATAATAATTAGAATTGCATTCGCAGATTTTTTTAAGATCGCCTGCTACAACTGGGAATCAAACTCGTGAAATTTCGAAAAAAAAAACGACATATTTTTAGATAACCATCGAAAGGGTTACTCATAAGTATTATTTTTTGCTAAATAACGTAGCATTTTAAATAAAATAAAAGTAATTTAATTTAACATTTTATTTAACACCAACCAATATAAAATCAGATACGCCTCAAAGTAAGTTAAAATGTTGAGTTCGTCATCGTTGACGTTTATCATTCGCTGCTGTAGTTTCTGTAAGCGCATATCAAAATGTCCTAAATTTCTTAAAGTATCCGCGAACCTTTTAAACACATATCGAGAAGGTAAGTCTCTATCCAGGTATCTTTTGCGCTACCACCGCATAGCTGATATGTCTTTGTGGTTCATAAAGTAACCTTCCATTAAATACATTTTATTTTGATACGCCATGGTAAGTAAATTAACAAAAAATATGCAAATAAAATTGCAGACGCTTATTAAAAATTTATGTGTTCCATTTTCGAATTATTATTTTTATAAATTTCAGCCAATCGCATTGTAACTGTGAGTTCAGAAAGAAATGCATACGTACGAGTACTACAGTTTGTATACCACTTTATTATTTTTATCACGTAATAAGACATTTCTTTCATTTAAAATGCTATGTTACTAAGCAAAAAATAATCCTTATAATTAACCCTTTCGATGGTTACCATCAAATATGCTGTGTTTATTTTTTCAAAATTTCACGAGTTTGATTCCCAGTTGAAACAGGCGATTTAAAAAAAAACTGTGAAAAATGTCTTGTTTCAGTAAAATATCCTATCTTCAATATTTAATATACTTTCCCTCCGTGTGAGGTAGCCGTGGGACGCCCTGTATATCAAGTTTCATCTTAATCTAAATCGAAGAGGTAACATACAGACATACAGACCGGCACACTTTCGGATGTAGCTCGACGGCACAAGTGGTTAGCGCGTTCGGCTGCGATCGTTGAAGTTAAGTAACTTTCGCGGTTGTCGGTCATTGGATGGGTAACCAAAAATTTACTATCTCGAGTTCCTCCGTGCTTCGGAAGGCACGTTAAGCCGTTGGTCCCGGCTGCTTCTGCAGTCGTCAGCACCAGTCAATCCGCACTGGGCCCGCGTGGTGGGTCTAGGCCCAATCTTCCTATTCCATTCATAGGGAAGGCCTGTGCCCCAGCAGAGGCGACATTAATAGGCTGATGATGATGACATACAACTATTAAATAAAGTAGTATAGATATTTGATTTTATCAGGATAATAACAACCTATCTACCATTAAATATTGGTAATGGTACTTAGTAATCATCACTGATTTATTAAATAAAAAGTTTGACTGAGATGATTTAAAACACGTTATCGAATACTGCAGAAGATAAGGTTAGACATTATGACAATACGCTACACATCATTTCAAATTCTATATTTTAACTTAAAAATTTGTTGTAACATTTTGTTACCATACAAGTTCTTACTTTGGGTCAAATAATAGTAAAATTGGCTGATTTCTTTTTATATAACTCAATCACCGCGTTAATTGCAATACTCGCATAGTAACTTTGGTATAATTACTTGTAACTGTTGTAGCAGTTCTTGACTTTGATGGTTCCCTTGATGAGACCAGTCAAGTCCTCGCCTTCCATGATGGTCATGGCAGCCTGCAGCAGCAACGCCTCAGCGTAGCACAGTTCCGCATGAGCCTCCATATCAGTGTACGTACTGTAATTTGGCTGAAAGAATGAAACGAGCGAGTCTTACAGTAGTCGCGTATGATGTGTAACATTTAAAACCTCACCTTATATTAGTAAAAAAAGAAATAAAACCTGCTACAAGATATTTGAACATTATGTTCTAAAATCGAATCAAATAGCGCGCGCTTTCGCAACTTCGTGTTACACACACCGTACCATTTCACGAAATTACTACCACAAATTGCAGGAAAGCGAGAGGAAAGATGTTACACATCAAAAATACATAGAACAGTAGCCTAAGCACGAACCGAATAACGAATTCGACGTTTGCCAGTGCCAATCGTCACCACCGAGCAATTTTGTATGGCAAAATTGAACAGCGCCACAACGGCGTAAAAAGAATTAAAAAATCTGTAGCAAACTTTTTGACACGTATAGAGATCGAATTCAACTATTCGAATTCGATATGGGTTCGTGCTAAGGTATAGTACAAAATACTTAATCCGTTAAAATAAATCCGTTAAGAAAATTTCATTAAACTAACAAATGTTTAGTAGTGTTGCGTTATGATAATGCATATTAACAAGTATAGACGTTGATGTTAGGGAGATTATAAAAGTAAACCATATACCTAATCTAAACTCCACTGCAAGGTTACATTTAATTTTGTGGGTTATAATAATGAGCCCTGAGTTTTGAGCAGATCTTTATTTTCTACATAAAGTCAGTGTTATAGGTGTGTTTACCATAAAGAAAAGGGATAAGATCTTGGTACGTGCACTGGCTGGATGCTGACCATTACTCATCTTGGGGTGACTTACTTGACTTTATGTAGGGCCAATAGTATCAGTATTATTTAACTATAGCCTAGAAATTAATATATTTTGTTTTCTCCTTAAACATAGTTTAATTAATTTTGAAAAATAATAGTACTTATTCGTTCAGACGATTACCTACACAACTTAAACACAGGTGATACAACATAAAAACTAACTAGTTTTCATATGTACATCAAAGAAATACATATTTACACTATGCAGAATATCTTATAAAACCTTGAACGTTATTAGGTGCCAAATTTTTTTTTCATGCAATACGATCACAACATTATTATCAGACACCGATATATTCTATGAATCCATCCAATGGCGTCTCGGTGTTATTCTAGTAGCATTCACTGTCAAAATATATTTTTCGTATATTGATTGTTATCAAATTATCTTGTATTACGATTATACAAGAGGACTTTAGAAGGTCTTATAGAATATATAATAATAATAATTTTTATTCATGCCAAAAATACATATAAGGTACAATTGAGGTACAAAAATTTTACAGCTGTTAAATTTACGAGTACTGGAATTTATTTTTATTATATTTTTTTACATAAGGCAGTAGTCTTAAAATAATTTTGTCAGATGCCGTTTATAGGAGTTGCATATAGTAACAGGGTCGTGAAGTATACGTAGCTTTATTCCCAAAGCCCTCGATGCCTAATAACGTCACTGAGCTAGATGGAGTTATCTCCGAGAATTTCCGCATGTTGACATTAGGTCATTGTGAGACTAGAATAACTAAAAACATACTTCCGGACACACCTAACGGGCCACTTACTGTTATAAGTTTAACGATCTGTAGCAAATATAAATAGAGCAAAAAAATAATACATACTTACAACAATTTTAAAAACACACGAATAAGATGCTTCATAAATCAGCATCAAAACTGCGTAAAAACATAATATTTAACATTTATATTTAGCTAGTGTCCAAAAGTGTATTATAATATTATTGTCATTTCAGATTACTTCAATCGAAATAATAGCAATCCAAACATTGCAGATCAATTTCAAACTACATTTTCTTGAAATGTGTTTTACTATAGAAAAACCTATGTAGAATGTTTGGATTATGTTTAATGACCAATGATGACAATGTACATTAATAACAACATAATCGTTGACAACAAATTACTCATGTTATCGTTAACGTCGTTGGGAGGTTACTATTGTGTAATTTTGAGAAAAAGTAAAAAGTACCTTCTTAATAATCGTGCCAATGCTTTCTACAAGTGTATAATTTCGTCTATGTTGGTTGCATAGGGTAATGCAGATTTTGAGTGCTGCGAGCGCGCGGCTTATCTGACCGTGGTCGACTGTCAGCATGGCTGGGATGAACTCAAATATAGCCGCTCCCAGACTGTGATACAAGGAAGTCCGGCACCTAAGTGTAATATAAAATACATACAAAAATTGATAAGCATCAATATTTTTTTTAATAAAAACATTTTTAGAACGGAAATGATTTACTTTATATAATTCAAAAAGGAAAATATTGTAAAATCTATTTGCAATGCGAATATTATTATCGGTTTTGTGAATTGGTATGGATGAACTGGAATCATGTTTTCTCCGAGGCGTGGGCAAGTTTATGTTTGTGTGATTTATGGTCGCTCCGATTTACGTAGAAGATAATTTACTATAACGAAGAGACTATTTGAAAACGACCCAACCTAAGCGGGGATTTTTAGATTAACTCTAGCGCGGCTGAATAACATAAGGGAGAACTCTTGCACCTTGTAAAGCACTCCCATAATACCTGAGCCATCTGTTTAGTGTCGAACTGACTAACTATATTAATTCCCTTGTTTCAAATGTTCGTTCGTTATAGTACGTATCAATTAAACTTAAAATAAGTAAAGATCCCCGTGATGGAATTTGACGCGCTTTGGCACAGATGATCATGAATATAATACCATTTGAACAAAAGTAGTTTAAGCCGTGGTGGACGTGGGTGCAGCGTCCATAATTATTTGCCCAAAGTCCTTTCAAATTATTTCAAAATCGCATATTGTTATAATCAAGCTGCCGTAGTAGAAATAATTACTCTCTATAATCCCACTACAACAATACAAACAAAATTAAACCACCTTTAATTCAAAATAAAATGCTATTTTACGAATTAATATAGAATAGGTAATTATGGGTAACAATCCCGCTCATGTAACTGGTTTTATTGCGAAGCCTGATATTTCATTACATTTAAAGAATTAAGATGTAACAGCTATAATATTAGTGACCATGTAAAACAATATATCGCGTAAGGAAGATTTTTCTAATGGTTGACGTCGTAACGCAACTACTCGTGTCTTGTGTTGTACACTACATACACTTTCAATTATATTTAATACTCCACGAGAATAACACTAGTTATAGGAAGATCACGGTAGCGTTTAAGTATATACTGCAGCAATAAATTACTACGTACCAGGGTGTCATGATATCCATGGCCCCGACTAAATCGTTATTGAAGAATTTCCTAATGGCTATTTCAGAATCTTCAAACGCCAACTGTAGATCCATATCACATCTGCAAAAATATGAGAGATTAGAATAAATCAAATAACTAATTTTAACTTACATGGTAAACATCCACTTCAAACCACGCAATTACGGTATAAGTACAAAATGCAAAAAAGTCTCCCACTAGTTACCAGTCGCGATGATAGCTGAAGCGGTAGAAAATTGTGCCACTCCAGCTATCCTTACCTTGCGTAAAAGTCTAAAATGCAACAAGCCTCTATAGAATGTTAACCATTTAGGTGACGGTTTTATGAATTTTCAATTTCTCATACAAATCTGTTAATTTTGACATTTCATTTTATATGAATCATTTGATGTTTTACCTAGGGACCTGTCATTTTAAGATTTGAAAAAATTAAACATGTTATGAACCTTTAACGAAAAGGACAATTTAGATCTCCTGATTCACTACCCCCAACTCCGAGACGTGGGGCGGCCTATTCGCTAACTTTTTTGACATTCACAGTGTGTAACTAAAGAGAAAATTGCATACAGTCTGAACTCGATAACTTTGCAGAGTGAATAATCTGGGCACACCAGAAAAAATTGGTCTGACAGCCCTTTTAGGAAGTCAGTCATAAATGTCATAACTGTCATGTCATGCAATATCCGTTTGAAAATATTTTTTTAAATTTGTTTGTGTGTGATCATGTGCAAATATGCATTATTTCTACGGTTACGCGCGTGGAAACGCTTCAATTGCCACAAGGATGTTTCGCGATTATTTACAAGGCAGAGGAGGACGACAGCCCGAGATTTATCCAGATCATGGAGCAATTTTGCGAGTACATCGAGCCGTACGTAAGGCCGTAACCCGGCGAATACAAACACATCAAGAACGTTAAGAGCGGATCCTGATCGTATCCACATTGTTTTAGAAGAAGTGGCACGCGATACAAATATGACTTGGCCCATTGGTTACTCTGTCGACGACGACAGCTTTCTTCACATTATAATTATGCAAATGATACTGACATTTAATCGCCTTGGTTTGGTACACAGCCGTTCAGTTATTTTATATGTATTTTGATGGGCTTATCTACTATATAAAAATAAGTCGGGTTTTCCTTCCTGACGCTATAACTCCAGAACGCACGAACCGATTTCCACGGTTTTGCATTCGTTGGAAAGGTCTCGGGCTCCGTGAGGTTTATAGCAAAGAAAATTCAGGAAAAATTAAAAAAAAAATCTTCTTTTAATCACCAAACGAAATGTTACATCAAAACGAAGCCATCTGGTGGCGAAACGGAGTTCGCCGCGTTTGCTAGTAATATGTATAATATTTTATTATATTGAAGCTTTTGCTATCAGGTTTATTTTTTATGATTTCCGTAGTTCAATTAATTTAAAGATGCAATGGGGTGTAAGGGTTTCTAAATACTCCTGCAAGAACCCAAGCCAACCTCACCTTCACGTGGTGCACCCTGTTGACCAACAGACGAGGCTCTGGCAAACCGACCGATGGCGGTATAACCATCCAACGACGTAGGGGAGGGAAATCTCACTGGTGTCGGGCAGCAGCGTCATCAGTGAATTAACCTACGTTCTGCGATCGCCAACCCGCCTGCCCAGCGTGGCGATTATGGGCAACACCTCAAATGTATAGAAAACAAGCCACGGCCCCCAGTTCCCGGCGGCCCTGCTATTCCTGGTCACGGTGGCGATCACGGGGTGGGGGGTGCCAAGAATCTGCGGGCTACGGCAAGCCACCACAATAGACTGACCCTGGCGACGTACAACGGACGCACGCTACGGCTTGACTCGCATCTGGCGCAAATCGAGGTGGAACTTGGGAAGATTAGGCGGCACATTTTAGGGTTAAGTGAAGTCCGAAGAGTGGGACGCCATAACCCTCGAATCGGGCCACCTAATGTACTTCCGCGGGGGAGATCAACAGTCCTAAGGTGGCGTGGGGTTTTTGGTAAATAAATCCCTTGCCGATAACGTTATGGAGGGTACGAAATTATGTGTTACTCAGCGCAATGGCAAGAAGTCAAAGCTTTCGGAAGAGACTTTAGGGTTAATGAAGGAACGACGTGAAAATCCACCTGTCACTTCATCGGCAAAGCGGACTCTAAATCAAGAGATCAGTAAGCACGTACGACACGACCTCCGGTGCTTCAATACTCTCTCGATCGAGAGAGTGATCGAGCAGAATCGCGGGTCCAAAGTGTTCGTACAATCTCTTGGAAGAAGCCATCTGACGAAGTTGACCACAGCAAGTGGGGAAGTGGTTGCTTCAAAACCGGCAGTCCTTCCGGAAGTGGACGACTTCTACGGCCAGTTGTACGCATCACATGCATCACGACCCGATCCCGGAAATGATGATTCTAGCGCCACATTAACACGCCACTTCACCGAAGACCTGCCAGAAGTCAGTATTGGCGAAATCGAGATTGCTCTTGGGCAGCTTAAAAATGGAAAACCCCCTGGAGAGGATGGTGTTACAATCGATCCCACAGTGCCTAAAGACGAAAGTCTTCAATCAGTGCGTCCTACTGTGATGACATACGGAGCCGAGACGTGGACACTGACAGTACGGCTGGTCCACAGGTTCAAAATCGCTCAGCGCGCTATGAATGGGCTATGCTCGGCGTTTCTCTGAAGGATCGCATCAGAAATGAGGTAATCCGACAGAGAACTAATGTTACCGATATAGCCCACCGGATTAGCAAGTTGAAGTGGCAGTGGGCTGGCCATATTTGTCGAAGAACCGTTAACGGTTGGGGTAGACGAGTTCTGGAGTGGAGACCGCGTCTAGGCAAACGTAGTGTAGGACGCCCTCAGACACGATGAAGTGACGATTTGCGCAAGGTAGCTGGCAGGAGCTGGATGCGAGTAGCCCAAGATCGATCAGAGTGGCGTGCATTTGGAGAGGCCTATGTCCAGCAGTGAACTAAAATGGGCTGTTGATGAAAGATGCACTATTACTATAATATATTATCTGTGTTGCCATAAATTTATATGTATAAACGAATTTTCAAGTGGCAAAAGTCGATTAACAATTCCATTTATATTATTTTTCTACACATAAATGCATGATGATAATACTTGAGGTACAAGATTGGGCAGAGTTGTATGGAGAAAAGGATGAATCCTCTGCTTAAAAAAAATACTAAATATTGATTTGATACTGGTCGTAGAAACGCTTAACGTAGGTATTTTCTCGCATTTTTTCTCGGAGCTCAGCGGCATATTGGCTGTTAAACGGTCCGGTGTGATAGTGAACCAAGAAGTACATGAGTGGTGTTTAAGTTCTTTTTAATTAGGGCACATTTTCAGCGCTCATGTTGTAACTGTATTGTTAATATTGTTGATTACAATGTTAAACTTGCATGTCTGAGGCTGATTGCCTTGGATTGCATGGATGAGATTGTTTTTAATCGAATCAACATTTCGTAATCTTCTAAATATTTATAATAGTACATATTTTCATTAAATTTTATAGCAACTCATGACGAATGAAATGCCAAATGTTAGAGAAACAGAAAAGGGGTATTCATTTGTATCTCTTCAGTGCAGTGTGTGAACATGCATTAGGGGGACCAAATCATTACATTTGATAAACCACAGATCCTTGCAACTGAACAACGATTCATTCCTAGAATGATACGCGAAGCTATTGAGATTAAGAAATATCCTTATTTCAGTATGGAAGATGGTTGGTATATACCACCAGGTTGGGAACCCATTATACAACAGATACAATCCCAACCCCGAGCACACACTGCAAAGACCAACAGATACTCTTAGTTCTTTTTGTATGCATGATTTAACATAAGAGGTAGATAGAAAGCCTCTCTGACTTTCTTTCGCCGGTTCTTCTCAGAAAGATCTCCCAATTTTGGAACCGGTGGTAGTTTACGGTAGTTAGGGTCAAATAAATGAACTCTTTTTTTGAATGAAAATTATAAAAAATAAATTACTTTATTAATTAAATTAGCTAATAAATTCAAGCATAGACAATAAAGTTTTAAAAATCTTCCAATGAAATATCCGAACGCCCAATAAAAGTCTTACGAAGGTAGCTCGACAAAGTAAATAAAAAACAACAATATTCTGACGACGCATTCCTGCAAACGATGCGAAATGTCAATAAATAAATAAATTCAGTGCATCTAACCCGTTAAAACTTGTTTTATTTAAGGGGTACTTACTTTGATTGCTCCTCAGCGGCATCTTCAAACACGTCCTGCACAGAAACAACATTTGTCAGGCAATATTTTTTATACTTCATTGAGTAGCGTACTAACTTTTGGGTGATTTTTCAACTTAGTTCTGAAGAATTTATTACAACCACAATGTTTACATATATGCTATATGTAAATTACTACTAATCTTGAACGTCTAAATGAAATAAAATGTATCAAAATTTAATAAGTTACATAACTTTTACTTTTAGATAATAGTGTAAGGAGAAAATGTGAAAGTAGAGCTAGACAGAGAGGATTTGACGGAATCGCCTTAAAACTCCAAAAGAGGCAAACAAATAGATAGGTGCTGCCAATATATTTACGTTCAACATTGACAATGTTGCATTTCAAATTATATAAAATAATTTAAATAATGAATTTCAAATAATAGTCTAACAGATACTGATAAGATTCAAACTTTTTTTAAAGTTGATTACTCAAGGAAGAATATCAAACTATTCAAAAGGATTTGAATGACAAAACGGCGTGGTCATGATTATGATTATCAGATATTTACGAGCCAGAATTGTAACTTTGAGGGAAGAAGGCTACGAGAGAAATAGCACGCAGAGTTGCCATATCCCAATCCTGTGTAGTAACCACGTTGCAGAGGTACAACGGAATGGGTAATTTAGCTGATCGACCCCGCAGCGGTCGCCCAACTGTTTTGACAGCTGCTCAGAAGCGCTACATCAGGTTGCTGGTAGCCCGCGACCCAACAATAAACGCCACTAAATTAATTATAAGCAGAAATACGGACGGCCTCCGGACTTGAAGTTAGCACTTAGACCATTCGGAATTGCTTACACAAGGCTGGATTACGAGCACGGAGGTCTTGGCGAGCACCTTTGAATTCTCCGTCAGCGACGGAGATTACAGTGGGCTAGGTTCCGGCAAAACGAAGAAGACGAAGAGCAAAACATTTAGCAAAACTGCCTCTTCGTTGACGAATCGCGAATTAGTACTCATCCAGATAACCGACGTGTCCCTGTTTGGAGAAGACCTGGAGACTCTGAATGGCAAAGAACGGCCACTGGAACGGTTTAGCAAGGCGGGAAATTAGTGTCCTTTTGGGGTGGTATTATGATTGGGGCTAGAACGCCTTTAATTAGGGATTAAAAAATCAGGGCTTCATGACGGCAGACAGATACAAAACAGTCGCCATTGATGGAATCGTCAGACCTTTCCTAGTAAACCATGGGCACCAATTTGTACTGGTTGACGATAATGCGCCCGCACATCGAGCTCAACGAGTCAATGCTGCTCTCCGAGAATACGAAATCACAAGGTTCTCCTGACATAAACCCAATAAAGCACGCGTGGGATGCTCTTAAGCGAGCTGTTTGGAACCGGCAGCCACCACCACAGACAGTGCCGTAGCTTAGGGCAGCTGCTGTTCTGAACCACAAGAAATGCTGGATAACTTGTTCGAGCCAGAGGAGGAGTTATTTTGTATTAAATGAACAAGAATTTCCATCAAAGTTCTATTACAATCGCCTTAGGATTGAATTATTGAATTTTTTATACTAAAAAACACAAGTTTTATATTTTAATTTCAGAAAGTGTATTTTTAAATAAAAAAAAATATAACGTAAACATTTTCTCATGATTAAGTTAAATTTTGAGAATATATCAGCTTTTGCAAGTGATCTCAAACTTTTTTTGATGTGTCTATGTATAATCTGGAAGTTTTATCGCAATAGGTTTAGTGACGTGGGCTCTCGTAATATAAGGACAACGCTTTAATTATAATCGGTAAAATTTGCTTACAAAGCGTTTGTCAGTTAACATTGATGGTAATTTGAAACATAATTAGGGGTACAAAAAAAGACACTGTTTTCTAAAAAGTGGTCGCTTTTTTGCATAATATTACAAGACTTAATATAAAATACTAACTAGGTAAGTGTATGAAACAGCTGAAAATGCTTTCATATCGTAACTATCAGGAAATTTGACCATCAAAGAATTTGACTGAATATTTTATATTACAGTAAAATTGGAAATAGAATAATTCTCTGCAGCACATGCGTGGTCTAGTTGATGGAGAATTTAATTGTCAAAATATTCACTTACAACATCGTCGAAGTCTTCACTTGCGAGAGGAGGTACAGCGTTATCTTTATAAGAGACCGGTAATCGTTGAGGCGTAAGCGTGGGAGCACTCTCTTGTTTCAACGCCATGTTTACTGAAACAAAATAATATAAATTTAAAGACAATTTATTAGTTAATTTATCTGACAGAATGTAACGTTTACTATCTGACCATAGCAAGAAATTCATTATGTGCTTATAACTGTAATATCTTGATCGGCATTGAAGCGGGTCAATTCCAGCCGCACGTCGAATATCCATAAATGTCGATTCGACTAAATAAATGAATAATCGCGGCCAATTATCACGATTCAAACATCCGTTCTGCAGTGCTATTATATAAATCCGCGCGGATCCACATCGGATATGCGCGTGTAAATTTTACAGAATAGCATTGCTGTACCCCAAGGACGAACAAATAACGAGAAAGTATTCGTATCGCCATCGTCAGTTTCTATAAAAAAGGAGCTAGTTTGTTCTTCATACGTCCAGAAGGGGCGTTGGTGCTTGGGGTGCTGTTCAAAATGGTGACAGCATAATTTTAGTAGAAAACTACTTTTATACCTAGAGATGAGAGATTTAGTATGTGAATATCTGCACGGCAAAACTCAACAACATGTAAAGTAAATGACTGATATGCAATCACTTGATATTGACGGAATTATGATGAAAGATGGTGTCTTAAAAAGAAGAGAAGGCAATCAATGGTGTAACAAACCTCAAGTTTGAACTTAAAAAAAATCCTGGGTCCTATTACAGCAGTGTCATCTTTTTTCTGTAACAAAAATGCAACTATTCAAATAAATTCCATTAACAATTTAATTAAATTATTAAATATCAACATCAACAAATGTGGTGACTGTATACTTAGGTATAATATGTTTTGATCATGGTAACCTAATGCAGGATAAATAGATGTTGCTTAGACTTTGTCGGAAGTAATGCTTAGCAAAGCATTACTTACATAATGTCTTAGCAAAGTACCCCCAATTATCTTTAATAGAATTACCACTTACTACTCTGCTAAGCTAAGCACGTTCTAAGCAACGTGATTGGCTTAGTCCTGGATTGAAGTCATCGTCATATTTTAAACAGGACATAAATATATAAATTACGTCCTGTATAAAAAAGCACCCAGAATGAAAACCAACTAATTAAATTTATTGAACACATATATCGCAGTTATTCGGCAAAGTTTTGTTGAATATTATAACTTACATACTATGTGAAAATTGCACTAACGTCAGCGCAATTTTGACCCCAATGTTAAATTGCTTATACATAATACCTCAACGATAGATTTTAAGTATATTTGCTAATTTTGCAAATTATCAGTACTGGAAAATAGGGGTAATTGATTTACTCGCTGTGTCCGCGACTTTTAATTGCGTGGATGTCGGTATTTAATCTCAACCTACCTTTATAACCTAGCTGAGGATAGAAAAATAGCCTACGACCTTTTTAAAGACTTACCGAATATACAGAAACAAAAAATCATAAAAATCGGAGAAGCTGTTTCGGGGGACTTCGATAAATAACAAAACACGAGATTTCTATAAATATTAGACCGGGGTATTTATAATAACCATATTTATATTAATACTAGCTGACCCAGTGAACTGTGTACAACAAATAAAAAATAAATTGTATAATTCACTTTCATTCATTCTCATGTCATATAATAAAACTCCTCCGAGACGGCCTGACCGATTCTTTAACCCGTTTTCCACCACCAAAGAGGAATGAACTACGGATGTATAGCGGGGCGATCTCCGTGTACATAAATTAGGATTGCTTTTCCACTGAGAAAGAGTTCCGAACTAACTTTTTGCGGAGCGAGCCCATTAATGACACTCGCAATACAAAAATGCTTACATGTGTTTCCCCCAACAAAGAGTCAAGCGAAAATGAGAAAAATGGCAAAAAGAGTAAAACTGATCTCTCTCTTTGGCCATGGGAATCAATATTCTCGAAATCTTTTTCGATGTAAAAATAATCCTATTTTATGAACACTAAGACCGCTTCGCTAGACATCCCTAATTCATTATTCTTTGGCGGTGGAAAACGAGCTATATGATTTTATATTTGTAAATTCAGTAGGTCAGCATAGGACGTAAACTATTTTCATACCCATAAGTGATAAGGGTGGGGTGGACCACCCCACAAATTCAATTCGTTTTATAAATGTTGAGAAAGGAACGTATAACCTGTTTGTTCTTTTATTTACCACCACTGGATTGCACGAGATGGCACAGAGTTAGATGGTAAACTCGGTGTAGAGTACTTGTAAAGGACATAAAAGGGCGTACCTACGCCCGACAATGAATGTATCTAACTTAACTATGACAAGCCAGTTATAATATTAATTTAAAAAATCTTTCTCTCAAAATTACTGATTTTACCATGTCCATTTTATTTATTGAGAGCTAAGAATTGTAAATCAAAATTATTGTTTATACATCATAAAAATCTAATTCACGCGAATTTTAATATAATCTACGTTGTAATTTTTCTATTTATCTGTTTTATTGTGTGTGTACTAAATTAGTAAATAAATAAATAAATAAAGAACTATACCGGAAGAAAATACTCCTCTGTCACCCAGATACATATATCACAGCTGATAGCTTGCGAACGAAGCCAGTACTTTATAAAAGTGGATATGTGTTTACCGTTGCTGGACCGACAGTGAAAGTGGGCCCACGTTGAGACAACGAGACGCTTTCACTTGATCCATGAATGCCGCAGAATACGCAATTTCTTCTTATAGAATAAAATATAAAAAGCAAAAATATAAAGAGGATTTGTAAAAAATATACTTAGGTATTACACAAAGTACGACACTTATGTAAACAAATTTCAACGTAGGTACTTTTGTAAAATATTGCATCAACATTTTGTCGCCTCTCAAATGCCTGGGTTTTGGTTTGGAAAAACATGAACAATAAAAGATATATATATATATATATACTATGCAAAAAACCAATACATGAAGCTCAAAAATAGAAAATCCTCGCAATTTTCTCGTCCTACATCGATTCGCATACAAAGGACAATGTCGAAATATTTGTTGAAGTAAATCTATAGCGTCTATAGATGTCATTATCAGAAATGTTAGTAAAATAATCTCAAAAGATTTATTAAACAATTGAGGAGGGTTGTCTAAGTCTGGAATTAAAAACTGTAGTGTTTGTTTTTAAACAGGGCGTGACACTGACACACGTAGGACAGCTGTTTTGTCTATGATAGCGAACCGCTTACGTCAGCGTAGCTGTCAAACTTCATTGATTGGGTTGGTAGCCTTGAGGGAAGAGTCGATTTTTCTATTCGACTAAAATATTCGCCTTGAGACTTATAAAAAAAAAAAAAAAAAAAGGTAATCAGGCAGTGAATCTCTGTGGGGGCGCGTGGATGAATGGATGGAGTTTGACAGTTGTTGAATTTTGAATAGTTTTTCCCATATCGATTTGAGTCCTCCTTATCGGGTGCTGTTTTTAATCGATTTTGAATTTTACTCGAAATTGAATTTCCTCGCTGATTTGGGTAGGTATTCCCTTTTCCTCAGCTTACGGCGAGCGTAGGTATATAGTTTTGAGTTTATTCTTCGGTTCGTCTCGAATGCGGCGGCTGTCTGTTTGACTGTGGCCTTTGCCTTCAGTTGGAGTGAGAAACAAATCATAGACACATGTTTGGGAGTGGACGACCCGTCTATCATCTATGAGCAATTGTCAAAACAACATTTAAAATTTCACAATCTGTTTGTGGTACAGTTAACTTTCCATCTTTTCTTCTGCCCAAAGTATATTGTAAGGCATATTATAGTCGTCGGAGTCGTGAAATAGATCCGAAAAGTTTATATCCTGAAGGATATTGGCGGAAATAGCGCGGAGTCGCTAACCGAACTGAGTTTCGCAGGTGGACGAACACGAACCTTCGCAAGGCGTTGCAATAATAAGGCAGTAACTTGTGATAGGAAACAAAATACTTACGGATAGTTTCATATTTCGAACGGCTTGTACGTTCCCCTCAAGAAATACTGGGGGAATAACAAGGAGTCTCTTTTTCTGTACACGGACCAGAAGGGACGCGGGAGTTTATTTGCCAGCCGCTCTCCGGTTTTATGTAACCCGGCCGTAACAGCAGACAGATTATACACAGCTAAACCTATCCTAATCAAGGTATTTCACTACTAACCCCGGGTGAGCGTGGAGAAGAACCACAAGGCGAGGTTGGACCCCGACCTACCCATTTCCATATATATACATATATCTATATAACTGGTTATCTCACTGAGAACTAGAATTAACTAAGTTTGTCACCAATATCGATCAAACGAGCCGTAGAACCTCTGAAATCCACTAAATAGCTTATTCAGTCTAGTCTATGTGGTATGTGTGGATAAAATATATTAGATATAGTTGAGAACTCATGTAAGTACATAGTAAAGTGTTATGAATGTCTGATATTCATATAATTATAACATCTCATGACAACTTGTTGGTTTATATCCACTTTAACTTTGAACTACTGTATTCAGCTTAGATATTTATAATTAGTGAAACATAGTTATTATATAAATAATAAACATAGTTAGGCTTGTTGATTTATATAAGCAATAACTTAAAACTACTGAATTCCTCTGCTTTGGTATCTAAAATGGATAAAATATACTTATAACATTATCTTAATTCTTTTGGTTTTCTTTCATTGTTCCCCCGGTGCTCTGAGTGAGCTTAAAAGAGGGCAGTGGAGGAGAATTTAACATCACAAAACTTAAAAAGAGGGAAACACAATTGACTATTTATTTTTTATTTTTATTGTGGCTTGGCCATGATGGCTTTAGAGCCATTCATTTTAAGTGATTTTAGTGATGAAATCAACTTTAAATATGTTGTTCGTATGTTTTGCATCGCTTTACGCTTGAACTGTATTTAATTATCTATCAAAAATATCGGGAAACATTATTTTTCAATATTATACTGAAACCATATTAAATAATCTCCACAATACAAAAAAAAGAGTATGGCGACAATTCTAACGAAAAAGAACTAAAACTGTCACTGTCATGCTTGTCATCGAATTGTTGCTGTTAATGTTATCATTATATAACATTGTTTGTATTTAGGTGCATGCATATTGCAAAGATTTCAATCGGCGTATTGTGTTTTTCTGAGATTTGTTTTTTTATGTGACTTGGACTGTATTTGGACTTTCGAAATCTTTCTCTGCGACTGTTGAGTAGTGCTTGACTTGAAGACTTCCGAATCTGATATTTTGCTGTGGATTTTGGACACGATTCTGTCCCATACTGTGGATTTTATTTCATTGTATCTACTATCTACGATATTGTGATCAACGATGTGGAATAAAAAATATATAAAAAGTGTTTATTACATATTTAATTAATATCCCATTAGTACATTATTAGAAATCCTTTCTAATAATGTACTAATGGGACACTAATCTTCAGGACCGGTATACTTCTATAGTTCCGTTCCACGTATTTTTTTATTTTGATATAAAAATACTCTTGAAAATACTTTTTAATTCGTTTTTGCATTACTTGGTAGGACATAACCTCCAAAACTTCAAAGTAGAATATCTATAAATCCAGACTTCCTATAATATAAGAAATAAGATGAAATGTAAACTCTATAATTTAACATGCAATTCATTTATAGACGCAAGAAAAATTTCAACAAAAAATTGTGTGGGAGTTCGCCATTGTCCTTTCGAATGATAAAGATTTTGTAGTAGGGTAAGAAGATGAGCCCT